TTCCCCCGCCCCCCGATTGATTTTGGGTTGCACTTTTTGGGCTAAAAGAAGTTGTTATTTAGGTTAAAAAAAAATTTTAGGTAATAAATAATTATTTATAGTAGAATTTTACATGTTAAAAATAAAAAAGTTATGGCATCTTAAAAACATTATATTAACAACTTAAAAACATGTTTTTTGATGAATTTTGGAAGCTCAAAATCATGTTATTTTTATTATATTTATATAATTAATATATTTAAATATATGTGTCATTTATTAACGGGGTCCCCATGGGATTTTCGGGACAAGATTGCCCACCCCCGCCCCCGCCCCCGGAATTAGAACGGGGATTAACCTTGCCCCCGCCTCGTCCTCGCCCTCGATTTTTTTAAAAAAAAATTTCCCCAAACGGGATGGCCCCCCCACGGGAACGGGGTCCCACGAGACTTTTTGACACCCCTAGAGTGAATTATCAAACATCTAAACCTATAAAGTCTTGCACCGACCGACGACCAACCGACGGGTATCTTTTCGATCTTCGCAAGTCGCAATAGTCCCTTGGCCCCTCACTCATCCGATTTTTCTTAATACAGTCTTCTTCTTGATCATAGTCCCTCTTTTCCGGTGAGTGATTGTTATAATTCCCTTTTAAATTTAGATTTTCTTGTGTTGTTATATTTGTGATGATAATAATTGGTTTGGGTTTTAAAGATTCAATTTTTTTGAGTTATGTATATGAGTATTACTAATTAGGATCTTTAGTTACAAGTAGAAAAGTATGACGAATTTTTTAAAAACTTTAGCAGGCCAACATTCATCGTTGAATCTATGGTTAGCTTGTGAGTTGTGATTTTGCATGTAGGTAACTGAAATATATATCAAAACAAGAGCAAAATAAGCAACGGAAAAACATCATAGATAAACTTTTGCAGACCTATACAAACCAGCATTATAATCTTGGAAATAATTTTTTTTAACAAGTAATTTTAAGAGTATGATAGGAAATATACATGTAACATGATAATCGAAGTCGATATTTCCTCTCTAAATAGCTGTATAAATGGGGTATCTAAACAAATCAATTAACTAAATTCGGGATCAAATCAAAGATTCAGAGTACTTATACAAAACCACATAGTAAAAATAAGATCAACTTTTATCACTAATACACATACAATCCATTTCGACTTTAACAATTGGTAACGGAATATATAGAATTTTCTGTCTACTGTTATTTCTCACAAAAAGGCAACATATTCAATTTGAAGTTTTATGATTATTAGTAATTAGTAATCAATATAAAGTAAGCAAAATCTTAACCTGGTTGATTTCATTAAAAAAGAATGTACAATTTGATCAAATAAAGATTCTTTCGGAAATCTTGAAAAAACAACAAAAGATGTTTTGACACATCTCATTACTACAACTAATGTTATCTTGCTGGAAAACACAGAATCACACAATGTCACGTTATTATTATTTATGTGAAGAGTTGATGGTTGAAATATTGACTAAGACTATCTCCTAAAGGGATCAATTATCCATACCCCTTTCCACTTAATGGTACCCCTAATCATTAATTTTTAATAATTAAATTATGATGACATATTTTTACTAATTACTATTACTTTTTATAATTAAGTCATGATGACATATATGAATAATTGCTATTTACATTTTTCTTTTATGTTACTAAAAGATAAATTAAAATGAGAAAGTAAAATGTAGTTACAAAGTTATAATAGGTAGGTATCGAAAATTAATTGGATTGATAACGATAACGGTTTTAATATATTGAAATCATTTTGTAAATAAATTTTGTAAATTTTTAACATATAAACTCATTGCAATCAGTCACCCAAAATAATAGTTAGTTTAAAAAATAATATAAATATCAATATCAAAAAAACATACATATATTTTTTTGTTTTAAAATGAGAAAGTAAAATGTAATTATTGTGAATAGCCTCATTAGTTATTCGTTAGATTTTTTTTATTATAATTAAATTGTGATTTTATAGATATTATTTGCAATGTTTTAAAAACCGGTTTGAACCGGCCGGTCGAACCGGTTGGATCGGAAACCGGAAGGGGGAGCGGTTCAACTATTACCGATTTTACGTCGATTTTTGAACCAGATTGAACCGGCTGGTTTTTACAAAAACCCAGTTAAACCGGTTAAACCAAATAAAAATACATGGAAAATAATCATTTGCGTAATAAACGTTGGTGATTTTTTTCAATTCTATTTAGTTTTTTCTAAATAAAAACATATGATAATTTTTATAAAGCTTTTTGATGTATTTGTATTCATCTAAAACTATATTTTGTTTCGGTATTATAATTTAGTTTCTTTTTGACGTATATGGAACACCATCCCTTGGGTGAGGGGAGCAACCCGCGGGAAAGAGGTGGGGGGAGGGGGTGTCGCACTCTCTCTCCTCATGCTATTGGACAGTTTTTATATATCTTTTTTAATATTTATAAAACTATATACCTACTAAAAAATATAAAAAATATATCAAAATTCATGGTTTTTAATTCTCTACAAAATGAGTATAATATATGTATGAAATATATTTAAAAAAAAATAAAAAAATAGTGAGGGGAGCTTCCCACCCATTCCTTGGGTTTTAAGTGAGGGAAAAAAAAGTAAGGGAAATGGTGGTGTGGCCCACAAAAAGTGAGGGAAACATCCCTCCCATACCCTCGAGTCTTATAGTTATATATTATTTTAATGTATTTGGATTGATACACAACCTATTTTATATGTATTTTTAATTTTTGAACTTGTAAACGTCAAATTCATGATTTATATATGTATGTATGTATAGAAAAATAGGAAAAATATGAAAATTATAGAAACCGGTTAACCTGACGGTCGAACCGGTTGAACTGGAAATCGGTCACCATACCGGTTCAACTAAAAAACCGGTTTTTAAAACATTGATTATTTGTAGTTACAAAGTTATAATAGGCAGGCATCGAAACAAATGAATTGGATTGTTAACGGTCCATTTTCAAAAGCATTTGAACAAATTTTAATTAATTTATTATGTTAAAAACATACATATATTTTTTGTTTTATATCTTTCAATAGTCTAATTTAATGCATTAAATTGTGCATAAAATTTAAGAATGAATAATAAAATAATATTTTGACGCAACAAATAATAGAAAAATTCAAATACATTCGCACTTAACTTTAATATGTATCCAAAGTGTTTCAGAAGTACGAGACCTAAGTTAATTGTATAAATCAAAACTCGGTCAATACATAGTTTGCCATGTAGATGCATACAGACTTTTATGTTTTTTTTTTGTGGAAAATGCCGACTTTTTGGTAGAAGTATCTTCATCTCGAGCAAATATGTTGATTCCAAATAACTTAAACATCTCTATATACAAAAAAAAATATTAAATAATATAATATTTTTAAAATTTAAAAAAATGAATTAACGAAAATTAAATATGTACAATTTTTAAAATTTACGTAAATTAAATTAAACAATTTTTTGATAAAAAGGTAGATGGTATTTTGTTAAAATAAATAAATATATGTAACAACTATAAAAAACTATTATAAAATTTGATGTTTTAAAAATAAAAAACTATTATAAAATTTGGTGTTTTGGTAAAATAAATAAATATATACGTAAATTATAAAAGGTATAAAGCTCTTCAAAATTGATAGGCTGTTTATTTTGAGAGAAGCAACCAAAAACACGTGACTTATGGCGATTTCCGGTGTTATCATGCGATTTCCGGCGAGGTTTTTTTGAGCGTCTCTTTCTCTTGTTCTTTGTCCGACGATGATGGCAAGGGTTCGGGTGACAATTCAGTCTCTAGATGAGAGATATGTGGCGATTCCGTCGACTTCAACTATATCCGGTGACTTTCAGGCGATTTACGACGAGTTTCTTTTAACTTCTCTTCCTCTCGTTCTTTGTCCCACGGTGATGGCAGTCGTTCAGGTGACGATTCATCCACCAGGTGAGACGGAGGCAGCGATTCCGTCGACTTCAGGTGGTCCTGGTGACGTTTCAGACTATTTTCGGCGAGTTATCACGCTTCAGGCGACGATTTCCGGCGAGGTTTCACGCTTCAAGCGGTTTCCGATGACGTTTCAGACTTCTCTTCCTCTCGTTCTTTTCAGTCGCTATTTTCTTTTTCACATTCCTCCTCTCTTCTCCGACGACGTCGGCACTGTTAATGGTGGCAATATATCGTCGGCGGTGGTTGAAGATAATGGTTCCGGGAAGTTATTAGAATTTAACATATTTGTTTATTATTTGTGATTATTACTTAATCATTTTTATTTAACTTGTTTATATACATGTATCGTGTATTATTGTTTGATTAGGTGGAAAAATGTTCTTCAATTTATTATGTAATTGTTGGTTGTTGTTTGTTGCAGTTTATAAATTGTTTTAATTTACGAAAAATTAAACACACTTTTTCAAAGATTAAGTTGCAGTTTTCCATAAAAAAAAAGCTTAAATTACACAGTAACTTTGAAATTCTAAAAAAACTGCAATTGAAAAAAATCAACTACTTAAAAAATAATGGTTACTATGGTATGAAGATAAAATCAAAGGTATTAATAAGAGCTCCCCCTCCCAAATCCCTCCTCTAATTAGTTCAGTCTCCAAATCATTACGTTCTTGTATTGATAGCCCCAATTTCATCTTCTCGATCCCCACAAAGACTCGTCATGACACATGCAATTGGAATTAAATACATAGAAGAATATGGTGATAGACGTCTTTTGTACGTTACATGAAAAAGATCAATTTCCATTGTGTGGATACAAAGGCATAACACCAGTCAAGTTTCCAAGCAGAAATGTCAATATTGTTGGTTCATGTAATGGAATTCTCTGTCTTCTTGATTGTGAAAATGGTGTAATTAGTCTATGGAACCCTTCAATTAACCCCAACTAACACTGCCTGCGTGTCCTCGGAGATGCATTTATGGGCTAGGGTATGAGCTTGGTTTCGACCCAGTGAGTATACCCATTAGGGCATCCACAATCCATTGAACTCTATAGAGTTCAATGGATTGTCATATCATCCATTAAACATCTATACAACACCATCCACAACTCATTAAACACGTATTCAATCCTAATTACCATTTTATTTCTTCTATTGAATCATTCAATGATCATTGAACTCCTCCATTTAACTTTACTCCATGTTATCACCCCACTCCATTCAACTCTTATTCAATCATAATCACCATCTTATTCAACTCTTATACTACTTGTATTGTGGATGCTCTTAATAAAGTTCATTTGTTTACGCGATCATTTCATCACTTGTCTGTCCTGTTTCTTTCTCATCAAAATCAAATTCCTTAAAAACATTCTTTTTTCTTTTCATTAAGTTTTCTGATATTTTAATCCAGTAATATTTGAATATTTTATTTACCTTTTTTTTTTTGTAATGATTAAAAAATTTACGAAAATTTGAGGTGGGTTCAATATGGATCTCAAGAATGTTCTATGTCAGTACGTGAAGCTGTTGATAGGTTTCCATGGTTCTGCAATAATATACAAAAAAAAATGCTTTATAATTATACCAAAGTAACAAAAAATGTTAGATAAAATTTTCCACCTTAAGATCCTCGTGCAAGACAATATATGAACTGAACCCCAGAATTTTATATCCTGTAAAAAAACCATTAAGATTAATCTCACCATTAATTAACATTTACGATGAATCGTTAGCAACATCAACTTCCGATTGATTATCTATAATTCTATTCGGTACAAATCAACACCGACAGTATCGGCAAGATCAATAAAAAAGACACCGGCGAACATAAAAAAAGGAACCGGTCAACGGTTGCAGCCGAACCCATACCATCGACAACTGTAACTATATCCACGGCTAGATCTCCGAAATTGGTGGATCCAGTGATGCGGTTTTCTTAGTGAAACTCACAGATGGTGGGAGCTATTGGACTTTGAGCACCCGAATTCGCCATCAATCAGGGTTTGGGCATCTTTGGTGATATCGAAGATTTACAGGGGAAGAACTTGCTCCGATTTCACTCACTTTCTCCCTCTTACTCTTTCTCTCTATCTCACTCACAACGGAAGAACAAACAAACGCCATCGCAGGAGGACTTCCGATTGACAAATTCTCAGAGAGGATCGAATGGTGTCGCCAGAGGAGAAGCAGGTGCGAAGAAGAAGAAGAGTCACTGCGTGAAGGGCCGACTAAATGGCTAATCTAGGGTTAATCTGATTTTACAAATAAAAAAAATGTTAAAAAGATTTATAATATCCATGTGTATAACAGTAACTTGGAAACCAGTTCATTCGGACTGAAACAGTCGTTTGCTTGCAAATTTTTTCTCTTTCAAAAAAAAAAAAAACAGTAACTTGGAAACCTGTAAATTTTGAGGTTGTTTCTCTAATTGAAGGTAAAATACAACTTTAAAAATCCATTATGAAAAAAAAAAAAAAAGATTAAATCGGGATATTTGAAGATCAACCGACTTACTGAAAGTCCCAATCCCAACTTTTTTTCTTCTTTTTTTTTGTGTATAAACTGAATAAACGGATTTCAAAGAGGAGGTACACGTGTAACATCAAATTCAAGATAAATGTTACCATGCGGACTGAAACTAACATGGACAGGGTGTTGACGAGCAAATCGATAAATGGAATTAAATGAGGTGATGAAGATGAATAAGAAGTTGCAGATTGGTACCATTGTTGAGAGTTGAGATCTTGAAAGTGTGTGTTTGATTCTAATGGGCTTTAAGGTTTAGTTCATCTACCTTGCTTTTATAAGGAAAAGAAATGGAAAAAGAATCCGTGGGGTTTGCTTCTTCTTTAATATACTAAAGGTGGTGTGTTCTTTTGCATCAGCAACCATTTTGAATTTGATTTTATATTCACTTGATGTCGATAAGATTAAACAACAGGGGATCATTCAACTTTCAAACTGATATGTTTTATGTGTGTGAAGTTTTCTTAAAATAACACATTTATTAGGATTCATTTACTATGATTTGATTAGAATTTAATAGTTAGTTAGGGGGTTACTCATGCATAATTCAAGTTTAAAGAAATGGACACAGGACACGTGTTTCTCGTAGATCATGAAGTCGACATGAAAGTCATGATGGAAGGTTTATGTGGACTAAAAGGTGGTAATGCTGTACATTTAATTGTATAAATATAGTTTATTTTTATAAATTTGGATTTTGTCGGTAAAGATCTTCCATCGAAGATAGTGATAACATTAAGTTTGATTCCAAAACAAGATTTATTATTCGCTCAGATTCGTCAAAACAAGATTTATTATGTCGATTGGATCAAAATGCTTGAAGATTTATTCTATAGTCGATTCTTTATTCTTTTGAACTCTGATAAATTCATCATATATTCATATATGTTAAAAAAAAATTATATGCATAGCAAAAAATTATCCTTTCAGCTTGATTTGCCCAAGTAGGATTTCCAAAGAGATTTTTGAGATGTATAAACAAATTAACAAATCCGTGTTCACGAGATGTTTAACGAAATGTATATTTTATATGGGATTTTAATTTGGATTTTTAAATAATGAAGTTTTTTTTATTTGAAACTAGGATTTTACCGGTCGCGTGTCGCGGTGTATTTCAAAAGTAGTAGAAAGTAACTTGTTAGGTGTTGAATAGAACTTATGAAGACTTAATGCCAAACAAAAATAATAAAATTTGTATTATATGGGACACGGACATAAAAATAAGTAATTAAATTTTTTTTTAAGTTAACGTACGAAAGTTCAAATAATTAAAAATATATTATATATGACTCGGCTCATATGTATGAAATGTATATAAAAACAAAGATGAAAACGTAAAAAAAAAAATTACGTCGAAAAATAAACGAACTCGAATTTATACAAACATAGACATAAAAAAAAGCAAGTATTTTTTTAAAAATCAACGAATAAAAGTTCTGAATTTACGCCGAAACAATTTACACCGAAACGTTAACCATCTCTAAATTATACCGACGCATACGAAAGTTTAGGAAGTCGGAGGGGTGGTAACTGTAGAAAATCAGATTGTATATATTACTGGAGATAAAAAAAAAACAAAAGTTTAGAAAATGAAATGGGTAAAATTGAAATTTTTCAAAGTTCAAACACGGGTGAAAATGACATTTTAAAAAGTAGAGGGTTGAAAATGTCATTTTCCAAAGTATAAACATATATGAATTCGAATTTATACTCACATGTACGTTAAAAAAGCAAGTAAAAATTTTTAAATCAACAAACGAAAGTTTCTAAATTTACGCTGAAACGTTGACAACCTTTAATTTATACCGACACATACGAAAATTTAGAAAGTCGGAAGGGTGGTAACTGTATGAAAATCAGATTGTATATATATTACGGTGCATAAAACAAAAACATTAAAAAATAAAATGATGAAATTGATATTTTTCAAAGTTCAAACACATGATGAAAATGATATTTTAGAATATAGAAGGTTGAAATATGTCATTTTACAAAGTATAAGACCGATAGCAATAGTCAATAGAGGGACTTAAATTATCAAAAGCTATAAATCGAAAATCAAATAAATAGAGGAATATAGAAGTGGAAGAAACGAAAAAGTAAAAAAAGGGGCCCCAACTTCACTATTTGGAATAGATATATTGTTCATAACAATATGGAAATGAAAAGTATTAGAAAAACCTCAACCATCGCCTCTCTGTATGAAAGGAAGAATTAGAAATCAACATGTTTTTTAGAAGAAAATAGTCAGTCATGGACTCTTCGAGTATAAAAGATAGAACTAGAAATACTCAAATACCTCAGTCTCTTTGACTCCTCGTAGCTTTCACAGTCTCTTCGTCTTCGACGTGATTTTTTCACCAATCGAGAATTGCCGCCCATTTCATTCATGTTTCAACATCCCTTCGGTCGTTCCCTTACCTTACCCATACGAGTTGGACATAATCTGATGCCCCTTGCTATATTGTTGCACTGGGCGACGGCCCAGCTCGCCCTGCCCTTGGGCCGGGCCTGCATGCATGAGTTTTTGTCCATCTAGTGAAAGGAGAGTGTTGTTTCTTGAAGTTGGGTCCTTTTTGGGACATCCAAAGTCCCCAAGTTCGTGACTTTATGGTTTCAGATGTTGATTAAGAGTTGGATCTGAGATTTGGACTTCTGGTCCTAAGCAATAAGGGCTTAATGGATTTTTAGCTGAATGGTGTCGTACGGGGGGTACATTGTTGTACGCTGAGCGTACGTGCAAGCCAACTCGTTCCCAGTCCGTCATCCTGTCA